TATGACATTCACCTGCCTTTCTGTGTGTGTGTGTGTGTGAAAGCATGTGCAGCATGTGAAAGATCTACAGTACCTGCGCTGGCAGAGATGAAGCCTAGAGCAAAAGGCGTTGTATCTCCCAGCTGAACAGACACATTAACGTTTGACACAGCAGAGGTGATCATCACGGGAGCATCGAAGTGAGGGAGGCGCCTGAGGAAAAGGAAGTTGGGCAAATAATCTAACGGACTACATAATACAATAACATCATGGAAAAACACAATACGGAATGAGTGATGTGCAAACACAGACATGAATAAGAAAGAGAAGACAGTAAAAGGTATTAGATTGTTATTTACACTGCATTGGGAGATTTTAAGAAAAGTGAAGACTTCACAGAGTGAACACACATCCAATTATTTCAGTAAACTTTTAGAGATATGATAAACACACAGCAATCCAAACCTTCAAGTTTTACTTTTTTTTTTTTTACCTTTACCAAGCTTACCTTTTTCTATGTGCTGCCTTCCTGTGGATTAGCTGTTCCCATGGAAATAGGTTTAGCCAATGGGAAAACTCCTGGTGACGGTAGTGGATAATGCAAGTGCTGACTGTGAAGGACCCTGAGATGTCAACAGATGTAACCTCCATGTAGAAAAACACAAGAGACAAAGTCAAAATAATGTCAAATATGATTCATAGATTTAAGAAACTCTTGTGATGTGACCATTGAGCATCTTCCTCACCTGCAGGGCTGTCTTGAGAGTGTTCACACAAAGGATCCTTTGCCTGCTTTGTGAGAGGAGTAGTCCATCTGCCAATATATTTTAAAAAAGAAACAAGAACATGTTATTCATAACTTTTTTCCTTCATCCAACTCTCTCTGCATTGCGTCTGGCACCCAGCTGTCCACTTACCCTCTAGAAGGAGCTCCAGGCTGCTCTGGGGAAAGCTCAGCCCAGGAGTGAAGCTTTTAAGAGGAAGCTGCTCACTGTCACGTCTGTAGCAGACCTTTAAAGATTTCAGAGTCCAGTTGAGGTGTCTATATAGACAGAACAAAACAAAAAAAAAAAAGTCATAAAATAGGGAATTAAATTGTGCTAAACAACAATTATATGCAGTTGATGGTAAAATGAGTACTCACTTTTTCTGGCTGTGCATGGACAGGGTTACATTTGTATTATCAAATTCCACATTGACCTTGTGGGGAATCAGCTGATGAAACCGTTCCACAGTCTCAGTCTGGATGAATTCAATGGTTTCACACTCTGAAAGGGAACAGTATTAAATCATAATATTATGTCAGGTATTATCAAAAGTATAAAGAAAGCCACATAGCTAAATAGCCTCTACAATTCTCATTTCACATTTTTATTTAATAAACTTTTTTTTTTTGACATTGTGCATATGCCACCTGATATGAGCCAATGGCGACTTGCAGTATTCGGCAATGTGCATCTTGTCTAGGTCTCCTCTATAGCAAATGTATTCCATTTAACATTTTAACTGCCTGTACAGGCTGGTTATGAATGTCACAATGCCTATAAAATGGTCAAAAGTTAAAACACTAACAGCACCGCTTTCATGCTTTGTTTTCTAATGATCTAAAAATCTGTTTTGCATGGAAATGCATGGAGTGAGCTAATGTGTCATTTCCTCTTTTTCCCCTTCTGGCTGTTAGTGTGTATTTTTATAGGCAAAATTGCTATGCTATGCTACTTTTAACAATAAGTTACTTTTCTTATTCAGTGAATAATGATCCAGAAGGCCTGCAGATATATAAAGAAATAATGAAAATAGTTTTTTAAACAATTGTATAACTTATGCTGTATTTGACTGGGAAAGTTAAACTTTCTATATTTATCATTAAGTATGTGGACATTTCAAGCACCTACAGAGGTGAATAAAGTGCTATCATATGACCTTGTCCTCATTTTCTTGCTGGTTAGCAGATCAGCAAAAAATATCACAGGCAATGATAGAAAATCCAAGCATTTTAGAATATGCTTTAGAATATTTAGAGTAGATGTTGTACTTTATATTATAAAACACAACATGTACTCTACTCCAACTCATACATTCAATCAAGCAACATCTTGATTAGGTGTTACATGAAATGTGCTGCTGTTTTGATGTCTTTGTAAATTTACAACAACAAAGCCTGATGTCCTCTATTGTTCGAACATCTTGGCAAGGTGGAATTGATTAATACAACGATCGTTTTGACATTTCAGAGATTATACTTATACTGATATAATTAATGTTTGCTCACCAGAGACATCGTGAACGCTCTCTTTAGGGGATGAGGGCAGCAGGAGTTGGCTCAGAAACAGCCCCTCATGCAGTTCTGCTATGAGAGTCCTCACACTCAGGGACAGACAGCCTGGCTTCATCTCTGGTAGGCTCACATATCCGGACAGCAGCAGGCTCAGGGCAACTTCAGCCAAACATATATCCTACAACACAGACACACCAGTCACACACATTCAATCATAAGTTTCTATTTCAGTGAAAATAGAAGAACTTACCAATTGACTGCTTTTAAGCACTTTACTGCTAAGTTGCCCGACGGAGAAGTCCCACGCCAGCCTGTAATAAAAGTAAAAAAATGATAACCATGTAGCATGATCCTTGGTTGGAATTTTTTCTTTACTATTAAATTCAATAGCTAAATCAGATCAAAAGGCAGACAGAAATAACAAAAAGAGAGAGTGTGAACAGTATAGTTACCTTTTACTCTGGTGGTCAAGTAACAAGGTGATGCCTGTAATGGTCATGTGCCATAGAGACTCTGACAGTGCTATGTTCAGCACCATCACATTGATGGAGCTGATGTGGAAGGACAGCAGCTGAAAACAGAAGATAGGAAGTGAGATATTGTCTTCAAAATCAGGTTGGCAAATGACTGACCTACAGCAAGGCAACATACTTGTGACAGAAGGCGTAGCGTTGTGGGGCTGACCGACATCTTCCCTGACTTTTTCCCATGACTCTTCTGCACCAAAGGTCTGAGTGATGCTTGCAAGTCAAGCCTAACTCTGGTTTCGCCAACACACAATGCCAGGTATCTCCTAAAATACAAACACGCAGTAGACGTTTCAAATAAAAGAATTAAGCATTTTCATAAGGGTTTAGCATCTATAACTGATTTACTGAGAGACTTAATATCAAACTATCGGACGGACAAAATAAAAAGGTGACAACTTACGGCAAATCCTTGTTTAGAAGTTTACTTGAAATCCATATTCTGTCAATTTCCTGTCATAAAGAAAGCCACTGTTATGTACAATTATTATCATTATTGATTGATCTTTTTAGTTGTTTGGTCCATAAAATGTCAGATTGTCAAACTGTAAAAAATGTTGATCATTGTTTCCCAAAGCCCAAGATGACATTCTTAAATGTCTTGATTTTTGTCGACAACCCAAAGATAATCAGTTTACTATCATAGAAGACTAAGGAAACCAGAAAATATTCACATTTAAGAAGCTGAAATCAGAGAGTGAAAGAATTTTAAGATTTACTCAAATTGATTAATCAATTATCAAAATAGTTGGCAATTACTTTAATAATCGTTGAAGCTCTACTGTGATGGTATAATAAGTCCAAACAGTACCCTTGATGTATTTAGGGATAGTGGAGAAACGACATAAAATGTGTTTTGGCTAAGCCAAACATGTCCCATGATATGGGAGCAGTCACACTGAATGAGCTCACTAAATAAATGTCATGTAAACACAGTGTGTCTTACCAGGGTGTGCTGGGGGTGAAACTGGATACTAACTCCTTGGACAGAAAAAAGCCCTACTGATTTGATCTTTAGATCAGCATTCAGTGCAGTCTGGAAGAGGCGCACAGCCAGGGTGCATATAAGCCACCTAGGAGCAAAAGAAAAACAGAGATCTTTTATGTAAAATCAAGAAACATCTGGGTTATACCTTATCAGCAGTGTTAGATTAAACTAAATCAGTGATGCTTATAGAGTGTCATTGGCAATTACAGATATAGTGCAGAAACCAACACGTCTTACCTGAAAATGACACATAACAAAACAATCCCAAGAAGAAGAATTAGAAGGAAGAATATCAGCAAGAGAGACATTGTGTCCCAAGTTGTTCACACCCTAATCTTGGACATGGGTCTGGCTGCTCCTCTATCAGCCACTGTCAAAGAGGAAGAGATGCACTTCAGCTTAACACACCTTACATTAAGAAGCTTAATTACAGATAGGTGCTAGCTAATCAGTAACTTCCCTAACACTGTCACTAGCGCGAATACAACATTTGCTATGCAAATCCGCCATGCAAATCCATATACGTTAGTTGAGTGTAGTTCAGCTAAAGGTAACAGCTAGCCTCACAGGGCTAACATTGCTAATTAACTACTGTGTAGTTAACGTTACAGCACGCAGCTAAAGTTTATCACTCGACAGTGTGTAAACATTTAACGTTAACGTTACCTAAACTCAGTCCTTGTTCACCACGCACCATTGGCAAAACAGCGACTCATTGCCAAGGAGCAGCAGCGTTAGCGCAAACTAACCCAACATGAAATAGTTAAAGATATTTGCCGCCGCGTCATCTAAACATCAGTAGCAAATCTGTGCTACCATTGTAGCAAGCTAACGCTACGGCTAACTTAGCATAGCTGCAAAACTGCTACAAAACTTAGCATTATTTTAGATAACTAAGTTACTGTGGCGTTAGATGTCTCAGTTAGATATCAAGCTTAGCGTTACTTACCCTGACATATTCAGAGTATTGGGTTTGTGTTTCACAGGATAATGCTGCAAAGAGCAGTTTCATTGGACAGTTAACTCTGCTCAGACAGAGTAAACACTCCGGCTCTGTTCTGGTCCGCCCCGCTCAGCTGGCAGCTCATTTGACACGCAGCCGAGTGCCGTGACTAGTGGCTGTACACCACCACCAATACTGTTACAGCAAATATTAACTTTTAACTATGTAGTCAGACATTAAGCGTAAGTCGTACATAGGCGAAACACATAAAACACACACACACAGTCGTAATCAAATTATTTTATGAAGGTGAAAAGATAAATGTTCTGATGAATGACATGTCATTTTACTAATGGTAAGATTCATTGCCACTTAACCACATGATTAAACATGCATTTGACAGCATTCTTCCATGGTTGATGCCAATGCTAGATTTCCAGGCCATTGCCCTAAAGGGGCCCAATCCCTCAAAAGATCCAGGTACATTGCATGTAAATTACTTTTGGTCATTTGATTAGCTGCATATTTATGGAATTTGCACTACAAGGCAGGCCCTGCAATATTACATCATGTTGAGGCCCTTTGTCTACAATTAAGACCTTTTATTGTTGTGTATGTCATCCATGCATGGTACATTTTTCTAAATAAAGTTGTTTTTAATCAAAATAACGAACTGACACAGAAATCTTGCAGCCAGATAGTATTACTTCAATAATTAAAATAACTAATTGAATGAACAGAATGTGGTTAATGGGTAAACAGGGGTCTAACAGAAACATTTTCCCCCTGGCCATCTTTCATATTTTTCAAAAAACAAAAGCAGATTTGTTTTTGCCCACTTGTCTGCCTTATTGATGGGAACAATATTTATTGGGATGTCCATCAAAATAAACAAGTGGTCCTTTTACAAAGTGCTGTCAATGCAACTGTCCCTTGTGGTAAGCCTTCAGGGAAAATAAATCTCATGCTGCCAGCCTTAGGATAACTGACATTACAAGAAGATCTACACTAAAGGTGACTTGTACAGCAACTCATCTGATGAACTGGTAAGAAATTGATGATGGTGCAAAATTTTCCAGGCAAGCTCCTTCATCTCATGCCGCAGCTTTCTGTCTGTTGTGTTTGGCAAACCACTCGTCACTTTTATCTTCGGCTATAGCCTAAAAAAAAGCAAGTTTAAAAGCAGAAAGAGCACAGGCACAGTAAATATCCAACACATGTTGCATATTTAATACAGAGAGGAAATACTGGAGCAACACCAACCTTATCAAGCAATTCATTTCCTTTGGGGTCCACCATGGACAGTTGCCTGAAAGCCTCATCTCCCACAAAGCAAATCTCATGACTATCCTACAACAAACATTGTCCAGTTAAATTGTTTTATAATGGAGGCGTACTTCAATTGATTGCAGCATAATGTTGGTAATGTTCTCTTACTGGGTCGGCCAAGATAACCACTTCTACTGTGGCTTTTCCAGGAGTGTCCAGGCTGACTAATGGAGTGAGAATTTTCTGATTCTCCTTTTTCATCAAGGCTTCGAGGTCAGGCAGCTGGGGAATGTAATAAAATATTGATGATGAAAATGACAATTATTTTTCTTCAATATTAACAAACACAATGATGTATTCCGGAAATAATATTTTACTTGCTCCCGTGGGCATGAAAATGCTATTCTCCCAAATGCTGTTCCATGATCTACTGTTCCACCAATATCATGAAGCTCCAGTTTACACTGCATAAAGATAAACAAAATTATCAAAATTCAATGAAAACATCCATCCATCGTCAACTGCTTATCCTTTGTACAGGGTCGTGGGGGGCTGGAGCCAATCCCAGCTGATATCGGGCGAAAGGCGGGGTACACCCTGGACAGTCCATCGCAAGGCCACACATAGACGAACAACCACTCACACTCACACCTAAGGACAATTTAGGGTGAACCCGCGCAGACACGGGGACAACAAACTTCTTGCTGTGAGGCGATAGTGCTAACCACTGCACCACCGTGCCGCCCTCAATGAAAACATTCAGACTAAAATACATGTCTGACTTAAATACAGATGATTTCTTTGCTACTTGACTCACTTGATTGTCTGCAAATCCCATCAGCACTGTTTTCTTTTCCTCATTCTTTTCCATCACCTTCATTCCCAAGAGTGTCGTCCAGTAGTGGGTCGATCTCTGGAGGTCTGATACTCCGAGACAAACCTTCTGTACTGGGTCTGGGAACAAATAATTAAAAGGTTACAGGTGATCAATCACAGAAGTAAAAACAGTATGACATGCTTAAACACCTGCAATGATCAAGCTTCAGGTGAATGCAATTTTTCATGTGAGTTGTTGTCATCCATACTGCGAAGGGTTTAACAAAAAGCCATGACATTTTTTGTTCACTTAATGCCTTTATAGTTGCAGATCATAATTATTTTCACCTAGATAGTATTATTTATGGATTGATCAATGAATAATTTACTTAATAAAATACTCAATATATTGGAACTTGATTACTGAGTCTAATCAATAAAATTGAATTAAATGACTATTACTATAAATAAATGTACAACCCTTTGCAATTGTGAAGCTGTAACCAACTGATATTTGGTATTTTTGCTTGATACATGCGATAAAATGACTAGAATTATTAATTCCTTTTCAAAACTGGACTCTTTTGAGAGAAAAGACACCCATGACAATCACCACTGGGAGGCTGCTCTTTGTCGACAAGGTAGAAAGGATACCCTCCTGGAGCCTGGGTCAGATACAGAGCCTCTCCTACCTCAGTAAGAGGCCATCCCAGATGCTTAGCGTTGCTTACAGCTTTGCTGGACTGCAGAGTGAGCCCCTAAAGTGAAAAGATTATGTGACAATATGTCTTTAGATTAAGGCTGCTGTACCCTATAATGTTATTGTCCTCTGTAACGTTTCCAAATGAACTCTCACCCACCAAGAAGTCATTGCCAAGTTGATACTCTCCCACCCCATAATTGTATGTCAGTTCAGCAACAAAATGGTCATCTTCTGGACCAAAGCCAACCATTGTCTTGCTCCATTTGCCATCGTAGGGGCTGTATCGATACAGACGATGGCATTGGTCAGAATTAAGATATTAACACCTCTGTATAACTCTTTTTTATACAGTTTTGTGAGCACAAAGTTCAGTTAGCTTAAGATGTCTACCCATTACACGTTGCTTTGCAGCCTTCCTCAAACTCTTCATGTCGTAAAATCTAAAATGGACAAGACATGAGAAAATAAGCATCCAGCAGGAAAACACATTTATTAAAACGCAGTTTCACTCATATGACAAGGATGAATCATCTAACGTTAGCTGCGTAACGTTGTGCAGCACTTTGGCTGAGAGTGAGATCAGCCGATTATCAACAAAAGTTCTGGCCATTAAATGAAGCTCAGAAAAAAAAGTACCTTCATGCCAAGAACATCTCGGTAAAACGTGGCTGTTTTGGTCCTGTCACCAACTTTGAAAACAAAATGCAGTGCTCGTCTCAAAGACATATTACCTGACAGATATTGTGGTGGGTGATCTGTACTGCAGTGGGAACGATTATGCTTCCTTGATGATCGACTTTTCTGTGTTCCTTTTGGTGGAAAGTAAATACAAATGAGCAAACAGCAGGCATTTACAAATGAAAATACATTTCCCAGATATTATTTCACCCTTTGTTAATAATATATATAATAATATATATCATTTTGGACAAGCGCAACGACTTTAAGCAAAATGAAAAGTAATGGAACTACGTTCGCCACCCCTAGCTATTCAGGTTAATGGTATATCCCAGCATCTCGCATTCTCTCGCGAGGTTACTGTTGAGCTGCAACTTTTGGATTTTTGACTTAAAGTAGAAAAGTAAAAGAAAAGTAAAGTATATAACTAGGTAATATATTCAGCGCAGGACATCCCCACACAATTAATTATTAACTTTACCCAATAGACTAGATCAATTTTCTATACGTAGATGTAGTATTACCTACACTACAACTGGTGGCGGGGTAACTCAGCGCCTGCCCGTTAAACAAGAGAAGAAGAAACTGGGCAAACATGGCAGCGTACATGAGAAGCGTGATATGTCTTGTTTCCATTGAGCGAAACGCTTTTCTAACAAGGGGAAGCAGCATTGTTGTGCAATCTAAACGGTATGTACGCGGACTGAGGAGGAAGCCTGTCAGAGTGCTGTTTCCTGAAAACGAGACGGATAAAGTCCACAAGCCGTCAGCAGGGCAAAAAATCAACAGGGAGACGGAGGCTCAATTCACATCTACAACTAGGCATCTTGAAGAAAGTGACTTTGTCAATACGAGGAGTAATGTGCAGTCAACTCTAAAACATGCTCACGTTACAAAGGATCAGATTGATGGACTGCGCTTCGAGAGGGCTTTACCTGGAGATAAAAGACTGGCGTAGGTGTCATATGAGGCTGCAAGGCACCAAAAGCTGTCATAAAATGTCAGATCCAGATCTGATCACATTGTGGACAAAATTCAGGACTATTTGTGGACTATTCAGGCAAAGTTCTTGAAAGGTTACTTGTTTATAGACAGTAGGTTTAAGTAAGTTTAGTGTACTCTGGTAAATGATAAAGGTTTTAGAAAAAAATGTTATTAATAATTATTCCTCAAAGCAAGGTATCAAAATGTATATTTTTGATATTTGTGCCAAAATACAGATGTCCTGTTTGCAATAAGTATATTTTGCTGATAATACATCCATGCTTTCACTTAAGTTTTGAATGCAGGACTTTAACTTGGAGGACTTTTTTATTGTGCTAAGGCTACTTTCATTTGAATAAATCAGGATACTGTTGGATAAGATGTTATATGGCATTTTTCTTAGTTGTCACTTTCAGTTGCTGCTTTTTGCACTTGTAGGGCATAATAGCATCCTATAATTCATGTTTCAAGAATTGTAATCATAATTATATATTAATGTTCTCACTGTTATCTATCTCTACCTCTCCATCTCCCTTCATCTGTCCTTCAGGAGGTTAGTGAGCGTTGCTCGTTCCAGGACGTTTCGGGAGCACCAGGGTAAAATCCTCCTGGAGGGCAGGCGTTTGATCTGTGACGCCCTGGACGCAGGAGCCAACCCACAGATGGTGTTCTTCAGTACGGTGGATCGGCTCAGAGAGCTGCCTTTAAACAAGCTGAAAAGGGCCACGCTAGTCAAAGTCAAGTTTGAGGACATCAAGATCTGGTCTGACCTTGTGGCCCCACAAGGAGTGATCGGTGAGGGTCACATAATTTGATTTGGTTCATTATGACGCGCAGATACCGAGTTGTTCCTGACTCCGACCTCTTCCTCTGTAGCCATATTTTCTCGCCCGGACCCGTCACGGTTGAACTTCGCAAACAGAGGTCATTCACTGCCGTTGTCCCTGATATGCGACAACATCCGAGACCCTGGCAACCTTGGGACCATGTTGCGATGTGCTGCTGCTGCTGGCTGTAATGATGTACTACTCACCAAAGGTATGCTCATGTTATCAATTAAAGATGTGAACAAGTGAACTCCACTCCTTGAGAATGGCATTGCGTCGCTGCTTGTAGTTATTCAAATGTTGTTGTTTTTTTTCCACTTACAGGTTGTGTTGATGCTTGGGAGCCTAAAGTTCTGCGTGCAGCAATGGGCGCCCATTTCCGCCTTCCCATCTATCCAAGCTTGGGCTGGGATGATATCAAAAATCATCTCCCTAAACCTGTGACTGTCCATGTGGCTGACAGCAGCTGTGGCACTGACAGAAGCAGAGAAACGGAGGATTCACAAGTTAATATGTCTCATAAATCCTCCAAAGCAGGAGACTATGGCTGGGTCAGCACAAAGCCTAATCACAATAACATGCGCTACGAGGAATATGATTCTGACTCTGGCTCAGATAGTGAATATGAGGGACTTGAACTTCCCAGAGTGGACACAAAGCTGTACCATGACAGCTGGGCTCGGAATGCCACTGCTCTTGTGATAGGTGGAGAGACACAGGGCCTGAGTCTAGAAGCAGCCCAGCTGGCTGAGAAAACCGCCGGCCACAGGCTCTTTATTCCGGTCGTTCCTGATGTGGACAGCTTGAATTCAGCCATGGCAGCCAGTATTCTTTTGTTTGAGGGCAGGAAACAACTGTTAAAACTAAAGCAGATACCGGGCAGATAATGTAAAGCTGAACAGCAGTTTTCATGATGTTCGCTCTAAATAGCATTATGTGACTTTTGGTGTACATCATTCCTTATTACTGCAGACCAAACAGAATAATTTTAATTTAATTATTTCCATCCTGCACCTTGTTCTGCTAACAATAAAATACTGAATTTGAATCAGGGGAATTATTTTTAATATCAATTAATCTTCTGATTATCTTGATTAAGTGTCTTGTCTACAAGATGTCAGAAAATAGTAAAGAAACTGGTAGTTAGAATTTCCCAGAGCCCAGGGATCTTCAAATTCCTTGTTTTATCCAATTATTAGCTCAAAACCAGAAGATTTTCAGTGAACTGCCAAAGATGACAATTTAGAACAACAAACAAACATCTGTCATAGGTGTTACTTTCTAGCCATGGTATCGTCCCATTTAACAAAAATACAAAGCACATATCCCTTGCTTTTTTTACCCATCCTTCCCTTTTCATAGAGTAAAAGTAATACTTTTCATAGAGTCCATAAGAGCCTTAAATAGATGCCCACACATGATGCATGATTATTATAGAAAGAACTCACTGTGACAGTGTCATGTCTATCCTTTACTCTGTATCTGCTGCCACATTGTCTATGCAAATATGCAGAACTCACTACACTTCCATCCCACCTGGAGTCAATCTGCATACTGTCTCCCGTAATAAATGCAACATTTGCCTTGAGTTTATTTGAGCCCATGAGTCTTACTTAAAACTTCTAAAAAAGAAACTGGTAAGTCATTTCATTGTGTGTATTTTACATATCCAAGGGCTAACTATTGGTAGAACTTAAAAAGGGACAAAACTTTGTGCTTGCCAGTGAATTTTTAATGGGTGTGAGAAGTCATGACTGAAGTAACAGAATACAGGGATTTATACATTCAACAATTTTCAAATGCCATTTGTGCCTTCAGAAATAACCTGGCCTCGTCATTAATGACCTTCACAGAAAGTCCTCTTAATGACTTTGAGATGAGAACCACCATTAGCAATAGGCAAGAGATGACTTTCACTCACATTATAACACACACACACACACACACACACACACACACACACAGACAGGGGTCTTAAAACAACAGTCATTGGTCTGTTACAAGCAGGTATAATGTGATCTTTACTTTATGTGCATCTGTCAAACTGTTTTTTTCTTTAAATATGGCCATAAAGGCTTACGGCTACATCCAACTGAGGTTTAACACATTTGCACTACATGTGATTTATAACTGTAAAAACAAATTTTATTCTTTCTCACCATCATTCACAAACCAAAAGTAACAAGGATCTTGCGGACAAAACAGAAACCAAAGAATCAGCTGAGTAAGTAGGTCCACTGGGTAATTCTCTGGTTTTCTCTACTTCAGAAAAGCTATTGGGTGAAAAAAAAAAATACAAATACATTTCTTGAAGCAAAAAAAAGAACCAACAGAATCTCCATATATATTACTGTAGGGACTATCATCAATGCAAGGCACCACAGGAGAAAAGACTCCATGAAAACATGTCTAAAAAAATGTTAAAATGTCAGTAAAAAGTGAGACATCTCTCGAAGAATCTGACAAAGTCAGGGGGAGGTGGGAGAGATAGTGGGAGGCTGGGAAGGGTGAGGGGCATATCAACAGGTCAGGGTTTGATGATGAAGCGAGTCCCATATAGTATGTCCAATTTATATTTGGACTACCTCTTCAGATGGGCTCTGGTTTGAGCTTGTCAGCGAGGAAGTCACTGACAAATTGATCCACTACAGCCGGTGTGATCTCCTCTACGTCACGCACGTACTTGGCACGGGCCGACATGTCCAGGATAGTGAGCAGAGGCGCCGCTTCTGGGAGGTTAGTGTAGTCCCGCAGGGAGTCGGTCATGTCATCCTGCAGTGAAAAGAAAGTAGTACAGTGGTTAAGGTGATAGTACATGATGCTAAAGTGGTACATTCCTCACATGTATGGATGAGTTACTGCACGGGCCTACTGGGAACAGACCCAAACTAGAGCCACTGTTTCAACTGACTAATTTACATGTCTTGCTGGAAAGTCAAAAAGCTCAGTCAAAAGTAGAGGTGTCTTGATCGCAATCTTTTTTTTGCTCACAACATATTTATCTGCCAATACTTAAAACATCAAAATTAGTAAAACAATTAAATTGTGGGATTTCCTCTGCTGAACATGGTCTGCCATGTGACTTTACCTGTCTACACTAAACATGTGACTACTTGTCCATACTGATCATGTGAATCATGTGACTATTTATATATAAAGAAATGGCCCAAAGGCGACCATTTTGGTATTTGCCCTGAAGAAGGTCTAAATGGCTGAAACACGTGAAAGGCTTTTTAAATCATTACCCTCAAAAGCCTCAGATTTTTTCAACACTTCTACACTAATGGAATCCCCAAACTGAAGAGCACCAGTAGATACATTCCAGGAGAAAAGACACTATAAATTATATATTTCTCTGCTGCACATCCGTTCAGACTGGCTGTTTGGCGACGGAAACTAGGACATCATCCATTACTTGAACTACGCCACATCAAGATTACTCCATAAAATTCAGAACTGCCTGGCACAATCTTTATTAATGCACACTTCTTGAAAGAGAAAATGAAACTCCCCTTTCTCCCGTCTTCCTGCAGAAAGCCTGCCCACAGACACCAGAAAGCTGCTGCTTAGTCACGCATCCTGCTCTGTTGAAAGACAGGAAGCAACCAGGTGGGGGTCCAACAACATCCCTCCCTGGTTTGTTTTATTTTTTTTTTCCAAAAGCTCACTCAGTCTTAACACAGAGCATTTGAATAGCATGTGTGGGCAGGAGAGAGAGCAGTGCAGATTTGTGAATGATGAAAATAGATTGCTGTTGGGTTTGGTGGAGAGTCCAGTTTTAGTTCTTTGCCGTTATTTTTAAAGGACTTCAACCATGTTCTGCCTGAGGCTTGATGTCACCTTTCACTCTTTAACAAGTCAGAATTACAACCCCTGTAGTAGCCACATGTAACAGAAACTAATCATGAGCAGGCAGGCAGCAACTTTCAAACAAGCTCGAAAGGGCCATTAATTATTGAGACTGAATAAGAAATCACACCCTTTCAGCTTTAGTTCCAGCCGGGAGTGCTTTTAGAATTGGCATTCCTACCTTGACAGAGATTCATTATTCTAGTCATATCTTCTCTAAGTCAAATGGATTTCATGTGCTATGCTTTTAAGGTCACACAGTTCACTTATTAGATGTGCACAGCTAATATCATTTGAGACATTCTCTTTTCCTCATGACATCATGACCTGATTTCCCCTCAGCTTAGTTTGCTGGCGCAGAGGGAGACTTGCAAAGATTAAAGATCAGTTTCATATGGAAAAGATTATGTTGAAAATGTAGAACTAACAAGAAAGGGCCAGAGGGTGGCACTGCAACAAAGAGTTGGACTCCTCACAGAGGCAGCGCCTCTGATGTTAATACCGTTACTGATATATGTGCCAATGTGAGTTTTGTCATAACACAGTCAAAGATAAAGCGACTTTGGATAGATTTCCTGCTACACACAATGCTCAAGTATTCCCTCCATTCAGGCTTCTTTGATGCGTCACCCCTGTTATCAGCAAATCCACAGTTATTCTTTCTAAATGGATCAAACCACACAATCAGCTCAGACTTCTCATTGAATAGCTTGGCTGCGCTGCTACCTAAAAGGATAAGTATGCCAAGATGAAGACTGTGACCTCTACTTTGCAAAACTGCAAACAGATGGAACAGATGAGTTGCAGTGTGGTATTTTGTTGTAGGCAGCGAACATCCTCTGAATGGAGCCCATTTTATTACACTGCAAATCACCATACATTGACCACTTAATACTCACAGATGTAAGCTGTCACTAAGGACAATGTTGTTACGAGTGAAATACTGCTTGATTCTCCTACTAAAATAAAAGCTTTGTCTTCAATGCTCTCTTGCAGCCCTAGCAAGCGTAGAATATACATCATCTGGACAAACAGTGTAAAGACACCACAAAGAAAGAAATTCCACAATCTGTCACCATGGCCTATCCACCCTCTCCGATATGAGAAGATGTAATCTCTGCGTCAGTCTTCGCCCCGAAGGAAGTCATTCTTCTTTTGTTTGGCTTCTCTGCTTGTGTAAACTGCTTCTCGTGAGGTGCAGCCATCCCAGCGGCCCCCCGCCCTCTGCAGCTCAGCTCAGAACAAAAAGACAAAAAAGGGCCTCTCTGCTATAGCTCGCACTCACAGCTGTGATAAGGCTCAGCGTTTACCGCGGGGAACCTGCTGGGCCATGTCAGGCTTATTCTTGTTACTGACGCGCTGTGGCATTTCACAGATGATGACCATCTGATAAGGCCTGAACTGAAGATGATAACAAGCCTCACCACTGGCCTCTGAGCTGGGGCTGCGTCCATCTTACTGGCCAGCTTTGATGTCTTGAGGAAAAGTCATCATTGTGAAATTTTTGAAATTTTTCAACAGCAATTGGTTATCAGTTTATATTGCTGAAAGTGAAAACATCTTTGGCTGGTACGTGCAAATGTGGGATGAAAAGACAGTAGATTTAAACAACTATCAACCATCTCTTGAGTTGTATGGAGGTACAAAACATTCTGCTTAAGATAAAAACAGTGATAAAAACACAAATTCTCCATGTGACCTTACACCTGGTGCTCATTCTCAAATTTTCTAAAATCTCAATTTTTTAAGCTATAAAGAAACAAGAAACTTTCAGTGTGTTTATAATTCCACAATAATGGACTACATGCCATGCTTGTGGCTCTGTGTGGCTGTATTAGCATGCTAGAATATTCACAATGAAAATGCTAACATGCTGATTGTTTACTAGGTATAATGTTTACCACATTCACCATCTTAGTTTAGCGTGTTAGCATGCTAACAATTGCTAATTAGCACTGAACACATTCGTTTTCAAGTATTTGATCATAAAAGTATTGAACAAGCTAAAGTTTTGACCTCATGTTGGCGCTAACATGTTTCTGGATCACCAAGTTATTACAATTTATCCTGAAGGGGCCAAATTTCATGCTAATTCATTTAATAGCTGGCATTTCACTAACAACCACAAGTGTGAATAGAGCTGGAACTAACAATTGTTATTTGATTAAATGTTTAGTATCATATATATAATCATAATATCATAGAAGCCAAGGTGACATGATCAAATGTCTTGCTTTGTTGGTCCACCGGTTCCAAACCCCAAAATACTCACATTAGACCAATGAAAGAAAAAGAAAAGAAGCAATGTGAACCTCATAGTGGTGCTACAGAAAAATTCAGGGGATCAGTGGGCGTCATCCTTGCATGGCTGAAATATAATATTTATTGAGTTTACATACAAAATCAAGCAGAACAAAGAGGCAACAGTCATTGCTGCTTGCCACAAAAATCTGTAAAATTCTTATTTGACTGGATAATAGTTCATTTTGCAGCTAGTTCACAGCAAAGAACAAAAGATCTTTCATTCTGTGTTATATAAATCAGTATACTAGTGGTGTATGTTTTTTTCAGTAGGGTAAGAAGATCCTGTGTCATTCTGCTCAGCATGGCCTCCCCCTGAGAGACTGCCAACATACTGCTGTCTCATGGATACCAAAGACCCAGCAGCTGTCCTGGCAAGGAGTGTGCAACTACCAGGGCTAACCTGGGCCAAGGTGCAGAAGTCTGGACCCAGAGACT